CTTCATCTGACCTTATCTTACTCTTATCCTGATGTCTTATAATTTAACTAATACAAAACTTATTAAGTATCTTAATAAAACACGGGTATAATTTTTAGGTAGTATATTTCCCCTGAGTGGCGACCAGCTGCGAGATATCGGAAAGTGTTTAATGCTTGTAGAGATGGATCCTAGTATAATATGTCAGAATTTACCTAAAACACGAGCACGTAATATCCTTAATAAATTGTGGATATACTGTCCAGAGCTTTTCATATTATATATCCTATTTATAACTTGAACCTAACTTAGAATACTTAAGTTAAAAAACTATCTTCAGATAATCTTGAGATAGTAGGAAATAATAAAATATTTATAGGTATTAATAGTATTCAGAAGCCTTTACTAAGATATCTTGCTAAACTTAAATATGTAACTGGAAAATATAATTTTTTTTTGATAGCTGAACTAATGATTTTAAGACACCCCAGTCTATCGCATATACCTGTAACCAACCGACCTTGTTGACTTCTTTGGTCAGTATTCAGGACTACAGTAGTTAGCCATCCGAGTACTAAATAATATTAATGAAATATTAATAATTAAGATACTAAGGGAGATGTGTCAAGATCTTATAAGATTTGTTGTTGATAGGATAAGAGAGAGGATGCTGTCGCGGGAGGTTTAAGACTGAGGGTGAATATACAGGACAGTCGGGTATCTATAAAGTATATATGTCTGGCCTAATAAAATTTCTGCCTGTTTATATCTAGCAGCTCCGCGACTGGTGTAAATAATTATCGGGTCCTTACTATTACTAGTAATTTAAGTATAACTAAATCCACTGCCCTTGTTGACTATAACTGTATAAATATTTGGTAACTGTTTGTATTTAAAATTGTTTTCTCCTGTTATTTTAGTAGATGTAAGCTGGATATTTTTATTATCTGAGATCTAATTCAGTTAGTGGTGTATTTGTTCAAGCATGGGGTTAATATAGTTACTAGTATTATTATATTTTCGCGTAATCTTCTCTTATTGTGATTAGTGCATATTAAACTTATTTGCCAAATTTAGACAATGTTTGGACTTTTGAACTTGGTAGTTGTGTTGATATCCCTTTATTTTGTGATCTTAGATATCTCAAAAATAGTAGGGATGATTAAGAGATGTGCTGCAAATTATTGTGTTAAAGCCTAGGGTATAATTCTCTTTAGTATAAACTGGTAGTAATCTTTTTTTAACGCGTTAGCGTCACTCTGGGAATATTAAAGTAATAAAGGGGCTATTCACAAGTTCTGTTATATATAGTTATCGGCTTTGGCGCCTGATATAATTATATTTGCCTTAAATAAGTTTTTTTAACATATTTCTCACAGAGGGGCAATTATCCTACTATTTTCGAAATCCCCTCCATGTAAATACGTCCACATGATAAAACTCACACGGTCATACCTACTGGTAGACTTTGCCATATTTTGCTTTTTAGGTACCCATGGGTTTACCAGAAACCCGCCAAGATCCTAAAGCTCCTTATTTTACAGTAATGTGTATGGAATAACCAGATAGTAATATATGTAGATATTTTATAAGTATACTATTGACATTGTTTGATGTTCTTGGCAGGTTATGGGACAAGAATTGAAACCCAACACGTGATCTGGCAGTCTACCTACCAGACCAGTGAGTGGCCGTCAGTCACTTGCTATCTATTTAGTCTACGAGTTAGCCATTGGGAGCCAGGCACTTCAGTATCTTATAATTAACAACAATGGTGTTTTCCTGGGCATCTTTCATTATACTGAAATTTAAAACTAGTATTATCCCTAGGGACTCTTGCTTGTCTCCTAAACCCCATGCTAATTCTTTTGTAATATTCCGAGAATTCTATTTTAGATAGTGTACGGGAATGTATAGTAAATAAAATCGCATAACTTCCCGGTTGTGGTAGTTTAGAGGGCTTGGCACAGAATAATAATTTACTGATTTATATGACCTTACTGATTTAATATGAGTGAAGGACTTGATTATTCTAAATATATAATATAGCTTATATTCATGTAACCTCTGGAGCTTTAAAGTAATTAATAACTTATGAAATAATGAGAAATTTACTAGGTTTTTAATGTATCTCGCATTTCTTTAGTGAGATAATATTCTCCCTTAGTTAAGCCTGTGGCCTCCCGCGGCTACATCTCCTGTATAGGTATCTCTTGGTTCTGTTTTCGGACCAGGGACAGCAATAACTTATTAGCTTATTAATAAAAAACAAAAGTTTAATACCCGAAAGTATCCAGGGGTTATTTATTAAATCTTATTGTATTTGTTCTTTAACAAGCTGTCCGCGGACGAGGTGTTTCTGATAGATGCGGGTGGGCTGGGCGGTTAAGGTTCCTAAGCGGTTAATAAATGGTTCTACCGCGGAGTCACTGGACGGATTAAGATTTAATATGGTACCGGCTATCTTCCTTAATATATTATATTACATAATAGATACCTTAAAAATAGTAAATAATAAAAAAGAAAAGATTTCCGTAGCACCTATCCGGGCGGTGGTTAAAATAGAGATCTGAATAATAGAAAACCACACGCACTGGCGCTATCGCGTTATCACGGTAGATTAAAAAACACAAACTAAATAAGAATAGCGTGCTGTGATGAAGCTGAACACCAACTGGTTAAAAAAGTGGCGGAAGCAAAGATTAATAAAAAAGCCCGAATATTTTAAGATGAGCTTTACCCGATCAAGGTTAATAGTGTCAATAGAACCATAATATTAAATAAAAATTATAAGATCCGAGCCGGAACTGCTGCAGCCTTCAGCGAGAAGAATAAAGCCACTATTACTAAGATTGTATGGTTTAGCAGAAAGAAGAGCAACAAAACCTATAGATCCTTTCACGCCAGAAAAGAATCTGATATAACCAAAGTCTTCAAACACTGACCATAACCAATATAATGCTACAACTGTCAGGAGATTAGCCATAAAGCATTCTAGTACAAGAATGTTCAGAAATGTGCAAAATACATCACGGAAGACTATTGCCATAGTAATTATAATTAAATAATTCTAAAATATGTTTTATGCGAAGGCCCTTATAAATTATATAGTAAAAACTGTCGGAGGCTCTATCTATCATATTATAAATAAAACCTTCCGAGTAATTCAACTAAATGTGAAGAAACAGAGAGCCGTATATAAGAGCTTAATAAATAATAAAGAAACCCAGACCGCAGTGGTATTAGTAATTCAGGAACCCCAAGCGAGAAGAATTTAAAACTGGCTCTTGACTACTCCGATAGAACATTATAAATGGATAAAGATAGTACCTTTTATCTAAAGAAAAGGCAGATAGCCGATCTAAAGCATACTCTGAATTAATAAAAATATAGAGACAAAATAAGTATTAAAAAGTAATATAAATGTCAGAGACCAGTATATGTTCTTAGTCTGTCTTAATTTATTAGCTGACTAATATAGATAACTATATCAGATTAGTACATATTTTAATCCCTTGTTTCCTTTCTACCAAAATCCCGCAAATCCAGTAATTTAATGCCAGGCAGATGTTATAGCTCTAGTATAATTGCTTCTTTTAAAATTAGCCTGACAGCAAAAGCCCATATACAGGATTATCTATTTGGTCAGAAAATATATGCTGATACCTTTGTTGTTGTTATTAAAATAGACGCCTGTCATGTGATCGCGTTTGTTATTTAGACTATTGTTATGCTCAGGTTCTCTTTAGGTTTTATTAGCTTTTTTATAGCTGACTTTGTTTGTTATATGTATCTGATGTATACTTTGCTAGTACCCTGGGGCAGAGGTTTTGAATACTTTTTAATAATATAGAGTACCCTATCCTTTATCCCGTTGATAGTAAAATCAGGCTATTTCTAATAGGATGTTTCTGTAGCTATAGAAAGTATTATCTTTTTACTGTTTTTTATAATGCTTCTAATAATTTTTTTCTTAAGGATCTGATTATATGATATATTTGGGTATATTCTCTGAGGGTATCAAATAGAAATAAAAGAATTTTAAGGAAATATTTGCAACTGTTAATGAAAAAAAGTAGAAAGAAGTAACCGCTGTTATATATTATTAGATGTAGTCTATAAGTATTTGTCATCAAATACTACCCTTTTACTATAGGGAAGGCCCATAGCTTGTAAATTAGAACTTTTCCTAGCAGATAGTTGAAGAGTGGTAAGAAGACATGTAAGTCTATATATATTTATAGGGAAGATTGTTTATGTAAAGTAATAAAAAGTAGTAAAAAGTAATCAAAAATCATATAAGGGAAGGCAAGAGAATAAATGCTGGTATGGGATAATATAAGATAAAGTAAGGAAAGATAAGAAAAAAAGATAAAAATCAAGAGGAAAAAAGAAAATATAAGGGAAAACAAGATAATAAAAAGTTAGTTAAGAGAAGTTAAAGAAAGTTAAGGGAAGTTAAGGAAAGTTAATGTAAACTAAAGTAAACTAAGGTAAACTAAGGAAAGAGAAGCTAAGTTAAGGTAAGATAAAGAGGCCATATAAGTAGGATTAGAAGTCAATATGGCTCTGTATTTATTAGATAATCGAGGGCCGGTATTGGATAAGTTTTTTTGGTCTAGTTAACACCAGGAATATATAACTGAGATTCACTAAGTACTAACCTATTTCAAACTACGCTAGTTACAACATAGGATTAACTTGTAGATTATAATAAGGATATATATTTCTTAAGCTCTTAGGTCCTGCAGAGAAAAATGACTAAGATACTCTATAAGATTATCATATGTGTCTTTTTTTTTTTTTTCGGTATAAACGCGCATACTGGCTTTTAGAAAGTCTACGATGATCCTCGGAGGATCTTTCCCTATTTAGTAATCTTGAATAGATTAATTTAAATTAAGCTATAAAAAATATAACTTAACATATAAAGATGCTAGCCTTGTTGTATATACTTACTGCAATTTGGCACAGACTAATCTATTATTTCTGCTATTTCTATTTATAGTAATCCTCCTTGATCCAATATGTTCTGCATGACAAGCCTTGTTAGATCCTTAAAAGCCTTTATTTCTATCTTAGATAATATAAGACTAACAGCTCTTAAGGTAACCAAAGAGATTATTATAAAATACAAGAGTGTTTTATTAATGCCTAAAACAGGCCAGCTAATAGAACAGCTAATTAATGTTATTAAAGCTAAGAAAATATTTAGAATATCTTTTTTTACAGGATTCTCCTATATCTTTATTCGGCATAGAAAATACCATATGATACTTGATACTTGTTTCCAGGGTTATCCCCACAAAGCCTATTATGTGGCATGCCCGAAAAGTATTCGCGACTCAGATCTTTCAGAGGAAGATTAAAAACTTCTTAAATATAAACTCCAGGATATTAAGGGATATATATTATAACTAGTCTGGGATAAACTTGAGTAACAGTACGATATTATAAAAAAAGACTGGCTTATGAAGGGCTAAAAGAAAGAAGAAACTTGAGATTTAGTTATTGGCATGTGGCAGGGACTAGAATATTTTAATCTGTCTTAAACAGTAATATAAATAATATAAAGCCTTAAGCTAAAATTATAATTTTATTTTTAGTTCTAGTGCTATCTGTGTACCTAATATGTGAAAATAGTTATAAGCAATAAACGACATAAATAGCCCTAAGTATTTTGTCTAGAAATATGCATATAATAATTATAAACCTCCTTATTTTTGCAATTATATTTCTGGTGCTGGTGTTATTAGAACTCTTCCTTATTTTATCTCTCCTACACCTGTTTTTTAAAGAAAGATACTTCCCAGACCTTAAATCAGCTACTGTTTCTCCCTATTCGTATATTGATTAGAGTTTGCTCTATATTTCCTAGAGTATTATTGTCAGAAGAATATGCTATTTGTTAACCAGTAGTAAGGGAAACCTTTTCACACACTAGATGTAATTTAGAAGCTTATAATATAGGGACTGCAGGTATTGTGTTTATAATGTTATAGCCTATAACAGATCAGAGGGCTCGAGATGGCTCAAATAATAGCTGGGTGGAACGAAGTCCTTATATGTATCTGAGAGGATTTTACTGTGCATGCAGAAGAGGAACTAGAGTAATCTATGGAAGTATTTACTGTAGTGAATGTGGTCATAAAAGATGTCTAGAGTACTTAGAAATGATAAGGGAGAGAAAGTTTCAAAAAAAGATGGGAATTACTAGAGCTTACTGCGGTAGAAAACATACATGATGAGATATAATGTTATACTGTAATAGTAGTTTAGTAAAAGTTCTCTCTTGTAGCTCTAGTTTATTACTGGTCTAGAATACTCTGTATCTCTCTAGTTTAATTAGGATAAGCCCTTGGTTGTATTATGGCTGATTCTACTTCGTGAAATTAATCAGCCTGCGGAGTTAATTGAATCAGGGATAGGAGCGAGATCTAGATCTTATACTCAGCTAATAGAAAATTATTTTAAATAACTTTACAGTATCTATATAAAGTATGTTATTATATGTCTGCATTGCTGCTTGATGCATGCATGCAACCATGTTATATAGTAAGTATTTGGTTTCTTTATTTTTCTTTTTTTTTTCTTTTTCTAATAATGGTAATATAGCTTATAAAATATAATTTTTATTAATAATTTCCACTCAGGGAATTCAAACTAATATGGGTCGAGGTGCATACGATACCACAGGGGTGAAAAAGCCAGGTGTACCACCTCTGCCGCCCAAATAAAACCGGATGACTGTGATATGAGGTGACCGGATAAAGATAAAGAAGGGAAATTCTTTTGATTATACCTGTAATTATAAGTATTAAATTGAATTAACTAAGACTAAAAAGATTCGGTTTGATTGAGCTCCTGAGATCTAGGAAGCTATAAATCCAGCATATGGCCTGATCAGCTAATGTATATTCCCGCGCTCATTAATGACTTTGTTCTATTATTTTGTTTTCACGGTATACCTCTGTTTTAACTTTGGATTACTTCGTCCTGATTACTTTGGATCTTTTTGTTTTACGGCCTCCTCTTTTAAGCTTTAAAGTAAATATTTTATTTCTTGTTTTAAATCACCGGATAACGTAAGAAAGCTTAAATAATATTTGCTACTTTGACTGACATGCTCTTTTTTCAGGATGTGTTCTTATGGTTATGTTAAATACAGCTGCGGTTATAAGAAACCAGAGCCTTGTGTGGTTTGATGTGTCCTGGCTCTCAGTGAAAAAAGATGCTTGGAAACAACTTGACAGGATATAATATGTTTTAATATTATTTGCGGGAAAGGATACTGCTCTGTAAGCCTACAGAATAGACAATGGCAGAAGGATTCCTGTATAAATCTATCTAAGACTACTTTGCTACTAGCGGAATAAAGAACTTACAGCTAAGTTGTTGTTAAGTTAGTCTAGTTTGGTTAAAGAGGCAAAAGACCTTAGCTATAGCGCGCGAAAGCTACCAACCATACATAATATAGGTGGAAGTGGAAATAGCAAGGCCTTTAATCAGTCAGGTTACTAGTGGTTTACAAAGGGGGTTATTACATGGTGGGCCTGGACTCCTACAGGGTTAAACTGATACTGAGTCATTATAAATCCCCTAAAATCTTTCTTTTTTTGTAGTAGAAATACGAGCCTAATCTAAGCCTGCTAAATAAAATTGACAAGTTCTCTAGGAAGCATTAAAAACATTTCCTCTAATGTATATCTGATCGCTCTGTTCAAGTTTAATTTGCTGCCTTTTATTCGCATTCTAATCAGAATAGACAAGTCTAGTCAGAATTCCTATACCTACAGCCATTCTCAAAAGCATGCAGATGGTATATCTATCTAGCCTCTAATTTATTTTGCTATGTCGGGTCTGACAAAGGGAAACCTAGATATTATGCTCGAAGAAGTATCAAATGTATAAGAAAAACGCTGTATAAAAGATGAATAATGGAATCACTGGACAGAGATAGGATAATTATTAATCCTCCTCTGTTAGTTAACTAAAATAATTTACTAATTATTCAGAAGGGAGAAGCAAGACCAAGACATTAGATAATTAATAATACCAGCCGAACAAAATAAGGCAACCGATTATCCTTACTAAAGATGATCCTCTATTCTCAGCCAGAATGTAGTGTTTCTGGATTAGATGTTCATTAAGTTCAAGCGCTCGCGGACAGGCCACCTTTTGTGTTCCCCGACCTTCAATTCGGCTCACGTGGTACCACCATTATGATACATAGTGAGCAATAAATAGTACAACGCACAATAAACAAGCTTTCTAGTATACTAGGCAGGTATTATTAGGTTAAAATCTTTAAGTAACCAGCATTTTCTGATAGGAATAACTCTCTCAAATCATACTATAATACTGTTAAAGAATTCTTTAATAATTTAGTCTGTTTCCTTAGAACTAAGAGCTCCGAGACTGCACATGGCCTTCTGTATCTATTCTATATTATATCTGTGGCTATAGTCTGCTAATACCAGATTTCCGCCAATAATTTATCTCAAGAGTAGCTAGGATATTAATAAGATATTCCATCCCAATTTAAAGAGTCCTGGAGCTCCTATGCTGGATCTGATATTATAATATATCTTTATGACGGTAGAATACTTAAAATTGAGACTGAGATAGCTATCTACACTTAAGGGCTATAAAAGGTGATTATATGCCCAACTGCACCTAATGGAAATTTGAGAGGGCTGAGTAATGTCTTTCAATTAGGGTTCAATTTGGGCCTACTTCTAAAGGAGAGGTCTGGGGTGCTTTAGCTTTTATAATATAGGTAAAAAAAAATAACTTTATTTTGATATGTTCTGCCAGATTAAGACGCGTATTTCTTCGTTTATCTTATCAACCTTAAAAGAAGCACCCTGTCAAGAAAACAGTAACCGCAAATTGAATGTTCCAATATTTGGGGCAGAACTTCATAGTTCATTCTATTCGACACAAGCAAGCGATTTGTAGATAGGGATTTGGGTATGTTACCTAGTTATCGGTGTGACCTTCTGGTCAGAATCCATTACTCATAGGTAGACTAAAAATAACAGGAAAAACTTTTTTTATTACCAGAAATTAAATATATGCCAGCCCTGGTCTAGTGCGTGCATCAGAAATAATTTGGTATTCAGAGAAAAGGAGGCTGGCTTATTTGGATCTAGTTTTTGCTAGCTTTGCGTGATTTAAATTCAACTGAAAAGTCTTATAAGGAAGTAAAGTGGCAAAAAGAATACAAGAACTACTAGATCTTATAATACTAGGCTTAAAATCAAACTTTCTTTCTTCTGACTAAGGAATAAGATATATAAAATATATAATAGGTTTAGCGCAGGCAGCTGCATAATAATAATTTACTGACAGATTCCTAGGGACCTTATCAAAGCCATCCCAGGCCTAGGGCTTAAAATTGCCAATCTTTTGTTTTATTGATTATCTAGGCCTGCAAGCTATTACATAAACAAAAATACCTTTTAATTATTTTGTCGTCAACTATCCGCGGCCTTTCTTGAAAATACCGATCCATCCAAGTTTCTTGCCGGCATCGGAATACAACATGCGTTGCCAGCGCGAGAAATCCGGCGTCGCAAAGCTGAAGTGCGACAAATGTAACACAGTATTTTCTCTAACATTCACTCGCGATATGTATTTGGCACGAGGCAATTGTCAAGGCTATATCCCTAGAATTATATAATAATTAGGTCATACTTTTAATTAGGTCTATGCTTATAATTTCAGCAATCCTTTGCCTGCAATAAATGCCGCCGCCGTAAGATTAAAGTAAATGATCGAGAAGCTTAAATAATATCTCTTCTAACATATATAGTATATACCGGCCGAGACTTCTCCCTATCCTTCTACACCGTGTCTACTTTCAAAATCCGTGTCAAGCTATAACTCTCCAGACTCAGCATCAACCTTGCGCGAGTGGACGTTTTACTCTATTATATTTGATTTAAAGCTAGGTTACGAAATTATCCACTTAAACGTATCTGTAACTAAAATCAATATGCGGGTTTATTTTAAACTAACCCAAAAAACAACCATCAAGCTGATTAAGATATATTTCATCTATTTTTTATGGTATTAAGTGTATAATAAAAAGCCTCAGGAGCTTGGAGACCTTAATATATGATTCAGGATGGCATTAGGTGAATATGTCTACTCAACCGACTATAAAACCCTTGAAAGTCTGGAAGGTGGTAATAATATATCAGTCAATATTTCCAGTTACTTGAAGAAAAGGATTTTGGAAATGTTTTACTCTGTATAAATATTATGCCTTAGTCGGCCTATAAAGCATAATATTTTTATATTGTATGTTACTATCACTGGCAGCATTATAGTAATAGGTAAGCTTAATCTAACTTTGTGTGGCACTATAGCCAACCCCTGCACCTAATTGAGTAGCTGTATACCCATAATTTGAGCAGAAAGTAATTAGTAGATAAATTTCACCGTGGACCCGCAATAAAAGGTGCTGGTTGTTTTCTTTTTGTTTCCCGCACAGACTCCTTGTGACCTCCGCGTGTTGCCTGCCAAGCCACCCGCGTTCTAACATCCTAGGGTGTTGAGGGGCTCGGCCATTTCTGAGAAATTCCCGACCGCTGAGAAACCTCCCATATTGAACGTCTTGGCATCACGTGCCCGCTCAATATCCATCACATTGTCATAGGTCAAGCCTCCTGAGAAATGTAGGAAATACTCTAACCGGATTTGGACTAGCTGAATCATGAATTACATCCATCTGGTGATATATATAAAAAAGGAGAGGTCGTTGCTCATCTCATCTTATCTACCTGCTGAACTCTTCTACCGGCTCATGTTTGAACAGTAGTACTCCCCGTACCATTTTCCCTGTTCGAGCCCCTTCCTCCTTGATTGGCTAAGGCCCAGGACCCTGCTTGAGTAGAACAACAAGCTTAGCCAAAGAGGCACGCTGCTGCCGCCGGTAGCGCTCGAGCTCCATAACAATCACCGTAGCCTCTGTATTAGGCCTCTCCCGCTGCTTCGCGCGGATCCAGTTAATAATAACCTTCCTTCTGCAAAAGAACACACGTTCCTCTTGGGAGGGACGCCACCGAGGTCCGTACGAGTCCTCCAGGGATTGAACCGACGGACCATTACCAAGCCCGACCGTCCATTCCCTCCAAAGGTCTGGAACTGTTGAGATTGTGCGAGAGAGTCTGTACTTCGGAGATCCTGCGACAGCATCAAGGCTAGCTCCAGTCTCAGTACCGGCGCCACCAGTACCGGCTTCTACACCAGCGATCACATCTGGACTGGCTCCTGGCCTAGTCAAGGCCGCTCGAGTAGTGGCGGCAAGGGACCCATCATGTACGGGACTGAGAACAAAGGGGACGCGGCCTTGTATGAAGTCATCAAAGCCCGCCAGTTTCTCCAAGATTTCCTGCTTGCTCTGTTCGATTTGCGACAGGACGGTCCCCCGTAACTGGCTCAGCTGGTCGGCGATAGCCGGCACTGCACGGCGGATTTGAACCTCCTCAGGCTCCCCCGTATCCTGGCTAAGAGACTGCTCCAGCTGCCGGCGAAAGGCCTTAAAGTCGTCGCGATGGAAAATAGGGTCAGTCCAGATCGGATGCGATGGGAACTTAGCCATTTGAAGGACGGAGTCCTGTAGTAAGATCGGGCGAAGTAGCTTCAGCAGTTTGAGGAAGCCCTGACCAGCAATATCACGGCGATCATCTGCTTGGTCGCCCAGCCCCCGTTCATACCACTCCGCCCATTCGTCAACCCATGGCCAGAGCTCGTGTACGAGTGTCTCAGGGGGTTGGATTGCCGCCCTTGGTAGGTAGTAGCAACCCTGGAGGCTTGGATCAAAGCCAGCCGTGGCACGGACAAATTTGCGCGGGAGGTTAGACAGGTAGCACTGGCTTAGAACATCGTTATTCCAGCGGCCTGCCCTGCGTATCTGAGCCTCGTTCACGCCCGCGCGCTCCGCCTCACGAGCTCCCTGACTCCTTCCCATATGCGTGCATTTGGACGTTGACGTCAAGCCTGCGGCATGAAAGGACCTCTTGATCCACTCTTTCTGTGTGTGGTACGCTAACGGCTTCAGACGATCAACGCCCCTTAGCATGTGGATTCCATACCACTGCTCGCGCCTGCTGAATATTGGAGGCTCCTCTCGGAGGATGTTCCATCGGAAGAAGAGGTAGAAAGCCAAGTGCCCCATCGGGCAGCGTTGCACATGGCGATGGCGGGCCGCGATGCCGTACTCCAGTCGATTTAGTTGATTCGTCTTTCCATTATTCATTATCATGAACACCATGGGGCAGAGCATGGGCCCTTCATTCTCCAGCTCCATGCCGAATAGATCGGGTAATTGAGCTGCGCGAATGTTCTCTCCTCTGAGCAGCATGGTGTGGCAGAACAAGAAATCCACCGCCGTACGGAGATGCGACTCTATGGTCACCGGCAACAATCGCTTAGGATCGTCAGCCTCCCATCCCTCCCAGCAGAAGCGTACGATATCGGCCATCTGATCTGTGTTATAGCCATCCTGGAGCGTCCCAAGCGCGCGGTCCTCGAACTCTTCCTTCTTCCTAGAGGCCTCCCTAGCTAGGTTGGACTTGAGCAATACCTTTAGAGCCTCACTTCGCATAGGGGGCTCCTTGACCGGGCATGACGGACTGCTGTACTGAAAGTTCCAGAGACTCATGATAGCGGATACCTCCCCCTCCACCGTCCTTTCCGAAATGGTGGGAATAACAAAATCTCCACTATCGTCGGTACGAGCTCGCTTCTTCCTTCTCGTTCCTTCGGCTGGCCGGCCGATGATTTTCGTGTCAATGTACAGCAGGAGCTTGTCGTTGCTGACAAGCTCCCCATCCACAAATTGCATCTCGGAACACCATTCCTACTCGGCCTCAGAGAATTAGCGTCTCCGTAGCAGAGAAAGAGGGAATGGGCAGGAAGAACCTTCCATCGCTTCTGCCCACGAACATACACTCTGGTGGTGTTATCAGGCCAAATGGCATGTCCTTCTCGAAGCACCCTCTCGCTTACAGCAGCATACTGCGCGGCGTGGTTGGCAAACCGTTCATGCTGGGCACGATCCATCGGATAAACAACAGGAACTAAGGCTATTATGCTATATATGACACATTTACAGTGGAATTTGCCTGCAAGAAAATTATTTTGGTCCCTCGCTCACGCGAGGGATTGATCTGACGGCGAAGGAGTTACAGAACCCCCTCGCGCGCGAGCGCCACGCGCTAGCCACTTATTGAATGGCTTGGCGATTTCTGCATAGTAACCCGGGAAATTACTGGGCCTGCGCCACCCTACGATAAGTCCAGGATGCCGGAAAGCAAAGGGCAATCTTGGCTATAAAACGCCCGTTTCCTCACCATGTATCTTTATCGATATTATGAATTTAATTTAGCACAGACTGGTCCCAGACTGCCCGCACATATCTTAATCTAAAAACATGTCGCAGGAGAAAATTAGTCCTCATGCCATAGATTAGCCCTATCTATCAGAAATACTTGTTGAAGTTAATATACTACTTATAAGAATTATTTGTATGGTCGGCCCTGACGATTTAAAAGGATTTTTAAATATATAGTAGATATAAAATTAAATCTAACTCGCCTAAGTTATTATGTGTTAATTTTATTAGTTCTATAATATAATATCTCGGCTTTGTGATAAAGCCCCTGAGACGGCACAAGGAATCACAAATATAATTTAAAAGAGGCTCGATTCTTAAAGGCAGATCACCGGGATGAATATCTGTCTACCTACATGGAAACAGAGGCGAAACTAGGATGCCCCCTACTATTTATCTAAGTTTTACAAGACAAGAACCAACCGCTTGTTGAGGTATGGATTATTTTATTAGTTTTAAATTTAAGTAAAGAGAATTAATAAAAGCTGCTAGATCTAATAAAGAAACTAAAAATCAGGGCTATATTAATAATAAGGTAAAATCCATATTAATCCCTAATACTGGTCTGTCAGCGGAAGTAACAAGTACTATTACTGGGACAATAGACAAAAAACAGCTATTAGAGCCTATAGAGGCTTCAGGGATAAAAGATCTAATATTATTACTTTTATCTATACTCAATCACTTTATTGCAAGAGGTAACTTTATTATAAAAAATATTTTAAAGATGGCCTAAACTCTTTATCAGCTGAGTAAGTACTGTGATGATGCCTTAAGCGAAATCTATAAGAGAATTTTTAAACTATTTTATAATAACCATGTAGAAAGACTCTCGGTCTTTACAGGAAATGAATGGTCAGATGGCTCTATATAGGTAAAAGTACTTAATATGAGATCGGCCAAGCAAAAAAAGGTAACTATTTTTAATATACTGGAGTATATAAGGGCATGAGAATGGTATGATGGCCAGATTAGAATTATATAAAACATAGTTTTTACCAAAAAGGGTAAACAGGTAGATTATTAAGGGGCAGCTACACATGTGCTGGACGGTATAGAAAAGCTTAAAATAAGGAATAAAGAGTAGCCAAGATAGATTAGCGGGGTTAAACAAGTTACTATGCATGATGAGGCGGTTTAAACACCGAAAAATAACTTATCTATCATTAGTAAGATGTAAGATTTATAATAAAAGCAAATTATTATACAACTCAGCAGGGGCCAAAAGTTAACCACCTAGCTTGTTAGGGAACTAAAGATCAGAATACTATTCTATTAGAAGATCTAGTATAGTCTTATTTTAACTGAACTTTTCTAATCTATTAACATGGGATAGGGATTTTACCAAGATAGATACAAAAAAATTAGACCACCTGATTTGAGACGCTAAAAGCAACTCGTGTTATATGAAATTATTTTATATTCTAAGCTCGTAATTAGAATACCTACTCTGGAATAGTTCCCTAGATCTTGACAAATTTTACACTAAGCTACAGAAAGAGGAACTACTTGCAAAAAATGAGCTCGAAGAGCTGTAAGGCACTTTTATTATCTTTTATAAATTAACTAACTAGATACTTTAATTACTTAATATATAGTCTATAAACCTTTTCCCACTGCGTGACTCTATTAATCAGAGAAGTTACAGATTACTTTAAATATATCTTATAATAATTATTAAACTTTTATATACAATAAATAAAAAACTTACTAATATTTTTTTACTGTATCTGGAATAAACTTTTTTATAAATTATAATACTATTACTAGTTTTTTATATTTATATTATACCTAATATCTTTTATAAATCTTCTAGTAGTAGCTTTCTCAGCACTAGTAAACCTATTACTAGGTCCTTTAGCTATTAATAATATAAATAAGTTAATAAATTTTATTTTTTTTAATATAATATCCTAATATATTATTTTATTAAGTCAGGCTTATATTATCCTGCCTATAATAATAATATTATTTTTTTTTATTATCCAGACTACTTTATTATACTCAAGCTTAAATATAGCCTTAGTATATTACTGGATTTTTAAAGGGTCTATTATTATTAAAAACTTTATAGTCTGATAGCTATATAGCCCTATTACAGAATTAAGCTTAATATAATTTATTAGTACTATTATAACTATCTTTGTTATATAGCTAGAATCTAGCTAGGGTAGGAGAGAGCTAATTAGAGGCTTATTTAAAAATAGATTATTTATACCCTTACTATTTGCTAATATTTGGATAAATTTGTTATTAAATATAATAGTTAGTAACACTAAAATAACAGCCTGCTATTAAAAAAAAATACTTATTATTAATAGTTATTTAAATACAGATTAAAATAAAATCTTTATTTAAGAAATAATTTTAAACCCTAGACTATCCGGATTAGCTATAAAAAAATTAACAGAATTAGTATTTTATTAATTAACACCTAAAGTATCCGCAGCTAAAGGAATATAATTACTAAGTTTAGTTTTTATTATAATAATACTCTTGTCTCCTAGAAAGGCGGATATTTTCTTATTCTTATTCTTAAATCCTGAGCCTTTTTTATATCTTTTTTTTTTTATTCTTGGCCCGCTAGACCCTTAAAATAAGCCGGGTCTTATTTATCTGCATATAATAAAAGGTAATAAGACCCACGTACTTTATATGGCATAATAAAAGGGGTCTAGAGAGATAAACTATCTATTAATAACAGAGAAACTGGAGTATTACTAAATCTATTTATAAGTTAAATATTATAAATAAAGATAGAAATTAACAATATATTTGCCCAGACATAGATACTTATATATTTATTATAATTAGAAATATTTAAAATAACAGAGTTTATACATTTGTCGCTAGTATTACTGATATTATAAAGTATGAATAATTCTTAAATCTTTTAAATAGTTAAATCCTAAATTATTACTTCTATAATATAAGGTTCAGCGGAGCGGTAAAACATTTAAAGGGCCCGAGTCAGGATATAAATATGCGGCAGCTTCTAGAGTGTTTGGCGGGCAGAAGCACAGGTGGGTCACATCGAGTAAGATCGCCAGTCACAAATTTACCTTTCTTGTGACTGAACTAGAAAAATAGTTAAACAATACATAGCTTTTTCCGGCTTAGTATTAACTTACTTGTATTTGCTAAACAAACTTCGACCTTAGATAAAATATTAACACGAAAGCTAATAGTTAGACATATATTCACTCACAGCAGTAGGAGGAAGCAATTTTTTTTGTAAAAAAAGAATATAGGATTCTGAAGATAGCGACTTACTCTAATTAATGATTTGGTATCTTGCTACATGTTTACACCAGCAGATCTTATAACATCCTATTAATGCACAATTGATGTTATGGGCAACTGCCGCAATTGCCCGAAGAAAGGGTATTCCTAAGTGGAGCAAGGAGTAGCTTTGGGCCACTCACATAGCCTGTCGCGAGCCCCACAATCGCCTATTTGTTTCCGTGCCTATGCCTGGGGTGGCCTCTTAACCAGCAAATATCAAACTAGCCTCAGCTTATTAATGCTAGTTACAAGTTAAGCACATGAACCGGGTAAAATGGCCGGAGCGTGCAAATCAAGGCCGCGTTAAACGCTGGACCGACTAACTGTGTTATGTTTTTCCCGGGCGCTAAATAATTAATATCACCTGGGCAAGTTTTGGACTTAAATACAGTAAAGTAAATACTTAGCTAATATTAAACACTTTCTTGCTAAAGCTTACTAGAAGTTGGATATAGAGATTACTTGCCGCCTAAGCTTCTTATATATATTAAAATATCCTTTTAAACTACTGCTTTTATCAGGAGCCAAAGAAGAGAGAAAACGATCCCGCCATCTATATATAAATAACGCCAAGGGAATATCGTCAGGCAACAGTAGCAGAATACGTTGATGAGACAGGTCAATATTAGTATAAAGCAAAGAATAAGAACAGTTTAGAACTAATTCAGAATATTAAAGCGTGTACGAAGCATGAAGAGAAAAATGAGCATCGTTCAACAATATATTCAAGAGCGCAGGTTCATTACTCCACGGCACAGAGGAGCCGGGTCGAGGGGTAACAAGAGTTGTGCCCAATATTGTGCGGTCGCTCATGCCCACAACAGTGTTCAACGATTGGTTACTCTCTGTGTTCACCCTTTTCTTTCTCTCTAAAGGTGGCGTTACGAGCTAGTTATATCTTGTATCTCGAAGGAAGGTGAATACGGTGATTTGGGAACATATTACAGTAGATGTGATCGGTTAATTGACCGGGTACGCTAGATAATTCAATATAGCATTTTCAGTTAACCAATATTAATGTGTACCTAACCTAGAGTCAAGATTATAGGGCGACTGGGCAATTGTCGCAGACACGCTTTTGTATAGTCTTGTTAAACAGTAGATCACCATAGCAAACTAAGATTTGCAGCCTAGCTCTTGGGAGTACGTTTGCTCATAACAGCCTAAATCGAGTTCCTACGGCTAATCTCCACCATCCTAAGAACTTACCTAGATACCGCAGGAGCCAGATTACTCTGGAGAACAGATATAGTTATCTCAAAATCCGGTCGAGTGATCCGATGAACTGAAAGCGTGCCACCAAGAGCAGCGGGCCGTTGCTAAGACTGCAAAGATTGTCGAGCCGGTACTAGGTGCAAACCGCTTGGTCATACAGCATGCTAGCGAGAGATATCCATATGGATTGCATCAACACACAGCCGGATATTTGTATGTACTTCTAATCCCAGAGTACAGTAAGATTTCATTCTCAGAAACTTGTTGGCTATGTCGGTTGATCAATAACAGAGTTCTGGGAGTGTCTCGGCTTTCGCACTTTGAATTACTAGTATTTTCCTTATCCCAGATAATTACACATCCATCAACATCTCTTCCCCATCTCGTTTTGATCCTTTTGATCCTGCTGGAAACTATCAAAACCATACCGGTTCTCCCTAGATAGATCCTTTTCCCGATCGCGTCCTTGCCCAGGCACACTTCCCATCTGTACACAATTACATTTGTCTGCCTCCACTTTCTTGCCAGTATTCTTGTTCAGGAGCGTATAAACACCGTATCCGCCGAAACCAACCCCGGCATTAAAGGAAAGCACTATCCAGACTCCTGGACATCCATTCACAACGCAAAATGGTCCCTGTTATTATTAATTAGTATGTTTCTCTCGCTTATATATTATAACAGGCCTGGATTTAAGAGCTGAAGACTGACTGCCATATCTCTAATGACCTTTGCGGACTGCAAGTGAGGAAGATAGCGGGAAGAAATCGCGGTATAGTATAAATGCTTATGATTAGAGTGGGTTAGGAAGCACAGAACCAGTGCGGCGCGGGGGTGATAAGAGAAGCCAGCGTAATCCACGTCGAGATCGCCGTCACAAAGTCAATAGACCGAAAGTGTTGGAAATTAGTTTCGGAAAACCCCTGTCATAGTGCATTTAATACTAACACAAACTCGTTCAAGAATTAATATTGGAGCAATTGTCCCAGCCACTTCAGCTGTAATACATCCACAAAAGCAATGTCCAATCTCCAAGTAAAGAGCCCCAAATTTCCTACGCTGTTAAGGGTCTACACGAAGGGCCTACGCTATACTTACCCACGGGGGTATACCCACAGGGTAATACTCGTGGGTATCTAGTGCCAAGCCGGAGAGAAGGTGGCTAACCGAAACCATTCTCCACCCAGTCGTAGGTTCGTGCATTTCCTAATACCTTAGCATCCCCCAGGTCTCCCGCAAGAAATTATTCCAACCCACCTAAACTCTCCGCTATTCTCTGAGCCATCAGACTATACCAGAAACCGAATCCACAACACTTATGCTGTCCTATTGATCATTGTGCTATAAATAAATATCGAGTCTAACTGTATTTTATGAATCTAGGAATACGCAGTCGGATATTTAATTGTTCGATTCAAGTCGCGCCAAGTAATTCTCGAATTGCAACTATAGAAATAAAACCACATTCACTTGGAATTGGAATACCCCTTGACGCAAGTTCGATAGTTCTTTTCTTTTTAAGTTTCGAGGACAGACTTTCCCAATTCTGGTACAGCACTAAGTCTGCGCATGAAATTCTCGCTATATGACCTTGGGCTTGTGCTTGATCAAGAGCCTTGGGTAGTATTTCGTGATTGGGAAAAGAAGCAGCAGGCCAGCCTTCAGTATTAGGAGATGCTTGGGGAATGGTCCACTGCTCGAATTCTTCTTCAGCAGGGGGCTCTGTGGGAACGGGCTCAGATTCTTCAAGAACAAGCCCAGGTGGGGTCCGAACTTCCACAGAAACAGGATTGATAGCAGCAGGATATCGGAATAGAGGGTCGATATGAACATGGTTAAGGGTAAAGAGAGACTCACGACGATATTGGCCTGAGAGCGCTGACAGATTCTTGGGCCTGGAAGATACCGGCCGAGAGGTGATACAGACTGGCGATAACCTGGAATTTCGAAGAGGTATTTATATTCGCCAACCCATCAACCCGTGCGAGGCTGAACCAACCCAATAGAGCCTACTCTGGTTGACCTCAGTAATTCCGGTAGTACAGGGGAACTGTGGTCGGCTTAAATGAAACACCCAATGACTGCGTCGCAGGAAGTAGCAATGAGATCGCAGACAGCGCTATGAGGGACAGCACAGCAGAAAGGCGGAGATTGCAGAAAGGTACAAGGAGATTGCACGGTTCGATGATCCAGGCCTTCGCCTAGACTGGGATGACCACTGAACTTGCTAGTGACTGCATCTCACTGGTGGATATGAATGAGGGACTTAGGCTGGCCACACCATCCTGTCCTATCAGGCGAGAAGCTACGCGATAGTGCACTGTCCTTCCTGCATGGGGGCATAGCTGATCATTAGACTTGAAAATAGGGATCCCGATCATTGCTGTCGACCCATTGCTTTAAGCAATCGTACAATTTCATCCATCTTGGGGAAAAGTAGAGTTCCGGCTTGCTCTCATGTACCTTGGCCGTGATATAACCACTGAAACACCAAGACGATGTCAGCAAACACGAGTTCAATCCCCTGATTTGCCATGAAAACGACTCTTCCGTGAAATGGGTTTCGCGTCCCGGCTTTTCGCCGCTGAGTTTCCACTGACTGGACTTCTACCTTTTCGCTCTGGGGACAATCGTCCTGTACCAGAAGATTTTAAATTCTCTTCAAATCCATTAGCCTTTGCTGCCGTCTCAACTATACCGGTAGGACTCTCTGATTGGCAACGAGAGGAGTCGTTGTCATCGAAAAACTGAGGTCGAGAGTCGTTATCTTTAATCCACAATAGACCAGGGTAAAGCGGTTTTTCCGCGCCTTCACAAAAAATGTGAGGAAATAAAACCATTGCTGCGGGGCTCATGTTTAGTATAAGCGATCCGATTACAATTTTATTGGTCTTGCTGCAACGGGGCCTTGAATATGAACTGGCTGGGTAATATCTACTAGAATAGACTAGATTACGGGGGCAATATGTAAAGATATAGTTTAGTTTCTTAAGCTTTGATAAAAAGAACAAGTTCTAAGACAGAATCAAAACAACGAACGTGGAACTAAAGGCGTACTGCAGAGAAATCTTCGGGATGGAGCAGTATTGTGTACTCCAGTAGCAAGGCGGAAAGCAGAGCCCAAAATCTGGAAACAAGAGCACAAGAATGATACATACTCAAACAATGAAGACCCAGTGCAAAAAGTTGGCTGGTCGGACTCCATGGCATGGTAACATCACGGGCGAGTGGATTTACTGAATCATAAAATCAAGAGAACTGGTTCCGGAAAATCCTTCTGCGGTTACCATCTAAAAGACAGGATTGCCAGGCTTAAGGTTAAGCTGCTTCCAAGCATCAAAATATACTAAAATATTAATAGTGCCAGTAGACCGATCCTCTCGGCGGACAGACCACAACTGATTAAAGTTAGTAATACTGTAGATTTCGGGAACGTTGCGATAAAGAATCATATAAATATCATAGACACTGTTATTAGAGTTCACCTGGCCGAGAATGTTTCCATTGCCTGGAATTCCTGTGCCATGGGCCTCTATAACATACCACTCAGTTACAGGATCAGTAGTCCAGCTATATACTGCCAGGGTATAATCGCCCTCAACACTAAATAACCCTCCCTAAGTCAAAGATCTATGTTATAATCTTATTAGCAGGGGCAAATAGGTAATAGACCTAGGGCAGCCTTTCTAAATTCTGGGTAGAATATATACTAAGGATCACCACCTCTATAGCCTTTTTCACCCAGGAATTCTGAACTCACATCCCAGGAGATCTGGAACTGGCCAGTTCCGTCGAACTCGGTATACTTGGCACCAGCGCCGTTATCGTTATAAAGCGAGTAATAGAACCTGGTAGAGTCTACTCCATCTTAGCTGCCGGAAAATTAATTTTCACGTTTTGCGAGGTGGCTTCTATCAGTGGAGTTCCCAACCTACTCTAACCACCGAAGGAATTTGGGGGATTTAGGATAGAGGACTTTCGGTATTAGGTCCGCAGGGCTGGCAAATACTCCCATAAGAGATAAGAAAGCAAGAAGTCGGGAGACCGAGAGCATGATGGAATTCAATATATAAACTGTTTTGAAGTTTGAACAATCGTTATCTCCAGGGGGATGGACCATGACAGCGAGGGAGGCTGCCTTAAATGTTGTTCTAACATCCTTCTAAAGGTCAGCTCGGATTCAAAATTACAGGAGGAATGTGTGAGACACGGGAAGTATGTGTGAGACACGGGAAGTATGTGGAGATGGAGGTACACATTGCATGGCATTGTAAACCTATTAACCCTACGCAGTTGAACAAGGCAAGGCTCCAGGGATGAAGTGCATTGTAATGGGACCTCCCGCTCTATATTAAAACAGCTGCGTCAGTTTGATTAGGTAGTACTCATCTTCAGTCTAGCTTTAGTTTAGTCTCCGGCCGCTACCTATTTATCCGGTGATCATCTGTCGCAATTGAAGCTTCCTATCATAATACGAACGCGATAATTTCTTCGCTTCTTCGTGTTTGCCCGAATACTAATTTAATAACACCTAATTTAGACGATGCAACTTACATGTAATATGCTGCTCTGCAGAGTAAGTCCAATCAGCTAATAGTTATCATACCTTGATAACGCCGTTCGCATATCACCATAGGAGTGATTTCAGGCAAAAGGAAGAAAGTTACCGCATTCTACAAATGCCATTGCTGGCCGTTGTGTTTGATTAGGGCGGTCTCACACCACTTACCTGGTAAATTAATTCAGAATAGTCTCGAGGGGTACCGATGTGGGTCCACAGGTTTTTTCTTTTTCATCGAAACGGGGTCTACATTCTTTTAGCATTATCATCCTCTCGTCTCCGCCTTCCCGTCTGTTAATTCTACTTCATAGGAATTTTCTCGAAGAACGTGAACACGCCATTGAACTAAGTTATTACGTGTTGCTGAGTTGGAACTTTCGAGGGCAGCCGGTCGTAGAAACTGAGTGGGACTTTGAATAGCCTCGATGACATATTGAAAATCGCGAATAATTAGATAAAACTTCTCTTTGAGCAACGTACGATATAGACACAAAACAACAAATTGGGGTGCAATCAAATGATGGCACGAATGAGTGTAAAGTTCCAATACGTAGTCAGTAAGCCGTCATTGATCCATTAAACAAGATCTGTCAACGAGAGATTCAACGCAGTGCGATAGGCTATTCCAGGATCTCAATTTGCACAGAATCATACAATAATCACCAAAGACTACACTGAGTGATAGGTTGACATATTTTGACTCACAAAGGACTATCTTGCCGTAACCTATAGCAATGAGTCCAGACTGTGGATAGTCATATGATCTGACCGAAAAAAAGTCTGGATGAAATATCTATAATTCCTGTGTGTTAGGCGCAAAGATAAATCCACAGCGCTCTCTTCAACGCTACACCCATCTTTCTTGTTAAGGTATTTAAACGGTTTTATAACATAGATAAAAAAAAGATAATCAGTCTGCCAAGGACCTTTCGCCCGTCGGGCGTGCCATTCTTACTGGGAAAGAGAAGTATTTTTTGGGAATTGGAGGATTACTTCTATTTCTTGTTTTCTAGAGCTCGTTTGGCCTTGTTAAAGTTTGCTTTTCACTTGGAAGTACATAGTACGTGTTACCTTGTTTCTCGCGCGTTTATTCAGTAGGTAAAAATGCGCGTGTATGTTTTCATCAAGACTCAGGTGTAGTGTTGTGTAGTGTCTCTACTAGGAGAGATCGATGTCTAGAGAATCCAAGAGACTGCAGTATAATGAAGCAAAAGAGCGTATAATTTATCTCGCTTACCGGTTAGTGCCAGCTAGACTAAAAGATTTACACGGTGTGACCTGTCGCGCACCGTCGTTAATGATGGTCACGTTATTAAACTGCACGTACCAGTTAGTAAATTTTGCTATTCCTGGTACTTGAGACGCTAGCGGTCTCGAGATTTTTCCGGTTGGTCCGCCACTTGAGCCTGTACTCTTTCCACGAAGGGAAGGATCTTCATATCCACGAAGATTGTCCCGAAAGGTAAGTTTCTACTATGGGCTCCACATCCCATATTCCCGAGGGCAACCCCCCAATTTGCCGGCGTTGGTCGCGGATGATAAATGCTGGACTCACGAAAAACAGTATACACAGTACAGTCACTTGTGAGCCAGACCCAAAAATTGGCATGCCAAGAGCTCCATGTGACAATGCCTCTGACTGTCCAGGCCTGAACTACTATAGTCCTCGCCAAGACGAGCACACCGTGCCCGGAGTCGGGTAAACTTTCGAACACCTACTCTGGACCATGGCTGGGAGAAAACATCCGGATAGAAATATCTCACCCAAAACCATACGTCGCTTTAATAGTACCATACGACTGGTCAAGGCATGTACGGCATACGTATGGCGGCGCAACGTTAGTACCTCTCTCCATTGCCCTAAACCTGAGGAGCTCCTCTAACCTCTAACCTTTTTCCTCTAGAAAGCGTAGTTTCCTGGAAAGGTTCCAAGATCAAGATGTGGTGACGACGATATAGAGCCATACCAGTCAACGTCAATTGATTACGACGACACGGGGTAGTGGCATTTGATAACGGAGCCGTCCATGGTGGACAGGAGCCTGAACATACCTGACTTGCGTAACTCGTAGGTTAGAAGAACATATAAGTAGGTTCCAGAGGTCACGTCGTGAAGCTTCATTTTTATCAACCTTATCTTTCCCTCAGCACGGGTCTTCCTAATTGGCTAGTTTTACAAAACTTTCAGTAATTATGGTTCAAATTACATCTCTCATCCTTGCTGGAATGGCTATCTTCGGCTCAGCCTTTGCCCATCCTGCGCACGACGTAAAGGCCGAAGCTGCTGAGCGAGCTGCCTTTAACAAGCGCACTCCAGTCGAGAAGCGAAGCCTTGGACACTGTGATAACACTCTCAAGGCCCGTGGCCATACCGCCCGCAGTGTTAAACGCCGCAACAAAACCGTCCAACACCTTCGTCGCAGCCTCGGACTTTCTACTGGTATGTAGTATTATAGATGCGCATGGCTCACTAACTCAAATTACTTTCGTTAGTCGCAAAGCTTAAAGGGCGCTCGTTCGAGTCCGCGCTGAATGAATCCCATCATTCTGATTTAGAGGGAATGACTCAATACTACAACCCTGAATACGAATACTTGTTCAAATCCGAATCCACCTGTGCTTTGGCCGAAGACACTACGGAGGGTCCTTACTGTAGGTTTGATATGTATTCCTTTTGTTCCAAATAGCTCTCGTTTACAATAAGCAGATGTTTCTGGCGAATACGTGCGCCCGAACATCGCCGAGGACCCAACGTGGTGTTCCCCTCTGGTTGGATATCCAGATCATCGATTCCACCACATGCGAGCCTGAACCTCAAGTCTATATAGATATATGGTATTGCAATGCCACTGTGAGTGTTCCAAGCCCTCTAATATCATATAGAGAGCGAAAATGCTGAGTCTACTAGGGTATTTACTCCGGTGTCGAGGCCAGCACCAACGGCAAGGACTGTAATGCGAACCTGAATATCATATTTCTGCGAGGAATCTAGAAGTCCGATAACAATGGTGTGGTAATATTCTAGTCTATCTTCCCTGGACACTACACCGGCCGCGTAACCTATGTTCACGGTATTTGCGCCTTCCAGTAATCCCTAGTCTGGAAATTTGAACAGCTAATGTAAATCTGCAGTCTTGACCCATAATGCTAACAAGACAATCGCGTTGGCTAACGGTACAATCTCCGGCCTCTACTCTTCCCACTCCTTATATATCGGTCAGCTTTTCTTCGACCAGGACCTTATCACCGATGTTGGAAAAAGTTTCTCTATACACCGATAACACCCAGGAGCTTACCATCAACGCCGAAGATGATATTCTTGAGGGCGAAGCCAAAGACATTGATCCTTTTATGGAGTATGTGCTGTTGGGCGACAGCGTCAGCGATGGTATCTCGTCCTACAACTACAATAATAGATCATTAATCTAATCCCTTGGTGGGCTTTGCGAAGCGTGGGCTAGGTTCAACGTGCGACTTAGGTCTTTAAAGCGGTTATATTATATGACTTCTACGCTTTCGGGATCTATTACACAGGTATCTGTTTTTAGGTCTATAGACCGATCTCACTTCCTGGGTATAGGTCCTTTCAGTGGTTTATTAACTAGGCTAGCCTAGTAGTCCAGTATTTATTGATGAGACTTTATTACAAGAAGCCCAGCCCTTATTCGACTTGATCTAAGACCAAGCAGTAATTACGACGCGGTCTAATTCGGGTGTTCATACTACCCCGAGGGTTTCTATTGCTAGTGTGGAAGCAACAATGGCTACTATCGCTGGGGAGTTCCGTTGCAACTACTTGAACCAAGGCCAGGTACGTGCTATCCGGCGGTGGTTCAAGATATAATTCAGCTTTTGGACGTTCTGGGTTACTAAGATTATGCGTAGCCTAAACTTCTTCTCCTGCTTGCTTGATTGAGTAATCGCTAATTCTACAAATTTTGGTTCGATTACCCATGATTACAGATCTAGTACCTTCAATTTGGGATTGGTCGCTGAATTGATGGATGGATTAATTATACCATGCGATCGCTGTGGCTCCACATAATTTTAACTTAAAGACGCCTATGCCTTCAATGAGTACGTACCAGCCAAAGACGTTAACCTTGTCGGGCATTCCTCCTGCGGTGCTATCCAAATCTAATACTCCTTCGTGTGCATCGTTCTCCATCAGCACAAGTATGTTGCTTTTCAAGGGCTCGGGTGGGCGTGACAGGGTTACCGCAGTGGTGGATGGTTGGATAAGCGTCCAGAGAACCATGGCTTAGTTGAAGACAGCATCACCGATGGGGGTATCCTGGATATCGGCATTAATGTCATTGGAGGAGTCCATCCAGAGGTTAGCACCGTTGAACAGCTTCATGTTCTGGTTGTAAAGACCCGGGATCTGGTAGGTGATGCTCGGTGAGCCGTTGCCGGAACCGGTGACCTTGACCTGAGCGCAGCTGCGGCGCATGGTTAGACAATGTCTTTAATATAGATGAATCCAGCAGGTCAGATAATACTTACCTGTAGAAGAACTCGGCCTCGTTGTCCTGAGCACCATGGAGACCGACATGCTCAGCCCGAATCAGGTATTCACCGGCCGAGGTATCCGCAGGGATCTGAAACTCAAACTGAGAATCACCGTAGGTGCACCACGCATCGGTAGTAAGGTCGCCATTCTCGTTGCACAGAGTCTGCTCCCAGATCTTAAACCACTCGCCGTCGCCTTCGTACTCCTTGACGTTGCCGGTGGGGGCCTTAGACATATCTAAACACCGAGAAGTAATTAGTAAATTAAATATAGACAAGTAGATAGAACCCGGTAGGAACATACAAACTTGGCCAGGTCCAGGGTGAGCAATGCTGCTGTCGTAGAATAGCTTTATAGCAATAGTATCGCCAGCAGCGACTTCGGCGACTTCAGTATTAGCGGCATTACTAAACGAGCCCAGGTTGCAGCGGAAGTCATTGTCGTTAGGGGTCAAGTTGTCGAAGGTATTAGAATACTTGGTGGGCATGTAGTTCTCCGTGCGCGTGGTCTGGCGAATATACTGCCAATCACTAGAGGCCACACCATTCAAGACCAGCTTACTGAAAATATAGTGAGCCGAAGCAGATTGGACCAAGGCCGCAGTAAGCGCAACAAGAGCAGAGTGCTTCATTTTCTTTGAACGAATGATTGGACTATCGAAGATACACAAAAAGGAATGTGCGAAGAGCGGTAAAGATCTACACCAGGTAGAGCTGGATAAGAAAAAGAAAGAGCGAATGTTAATGGGGTGTCATAGGAGACCAACAAGTTCACCAGCGGACAGAAGGGCACTTTATAGGTTTGCCTGGAGCTCAGCTACTTTGGCGCTGAGGGTTTCCAGAACCTGCTTTACTATCTATCCGAAACAAAGTGTTCAAGGATCAAAACGCCAAGATTTGGTCTAGTTCCTAATTCGACAGCTTCTCGGCACCAAATTTCCTAATGTATCATGTGTTTTTTTCTCAAATGGTTTCCGCTATGTTTAAAAGACGTTCTAGATGAGGCCATCCATTTGAACCCATTTCGAATTAGAGTCGTCTCGGCACTGTTTTGACTTGAAACTAGAGGAAAAATTGGCACGCTTAAGTGTGATTTAGCCGCGCCCCAGGCCAGCTTTCAACCATAGCCAAATTTTTCCTAGTCAACTACAAGACAGTTTTCGCACAGGCGCTCTACCTAGCTCTTTCGCTTTATTGGGGACGAGGATTTTTTCAAATAAGTTTCGCGCGTTCAATATCAATTACAAGTCTTAAGGCTTTTATAAATTGTTCTTCCAAATCTAGTAGTCGTTTGTGTCATGTCTATTTTTGCTTCCATATACAGCACAGGGTGATACGAACTTGGGCAGGATGGATTCTCTGCGGTCGATAACTTGTAATTTGGGGCCGTAGCTAATGGCCTTCCATTATGAGATCCGCTATTACCAGGCGGCATGTGGGCAGCTAGAGGAATCGTGCAATCCTAGCCTTGCCCACTACAGCGTGCAAATCAGGCAATGATCTTCGTCCTACGGAATCATCCCAAGTCCGTCAGTCAAGATTCTTCAAATGATCAAGCAGTTTGTGCAGCTTGTGTTTGTCTTCCAACGGCGGAATGGTACTTCATGGCACGCCGGAGTTTTAGTATGTTTAGAATAGTCAAGATATAGAAACGTCATTTTATGCCAGGATGTAGAAATCGCTATATCGGAGCTCACATCCGGCCCTAATCAGTAACCTCGAAATCGATCCTTCCTAGCAGGGTAGATTCGAGAGTCCGTGAAAGACCTATCCCTTTGACTACACGATTTTGCTTTCTGGATCGCTATTCTGAACACACGCTCTCCGTAGCCTCTCTCAGTGTCCTTTAAATTGCTATCATAAATAATAGGAAAATATTGTACAAAAAGCTCGCCCGGGGAGGACAGCAGTGGTGACAGTTAGATAAATCGAGAGAATCACCACTTCTTCGCGGGAACTCTAGATAACGCAATCCCCCTTGTCATTACAATGGTCGGCAGTTCCCGTACAATAACTACCGGCAGTTCCTCTGTATCCGGAACACTATTAGCCCGAGACACTCCTCTCCTTTGCACCTTGCGCAAATTTCGAGAATCCCAACTAGAGAAGCACGCCTGTCGGACTTTCTCCGTAGACTGGCAGAGCTCCACCGTAGCATATTAAAGGCGCTAACGGCGCTCAAGTCTTGGCTTGACTAAGGAGCGTGCAGAATGCCAGCTTCGACCATTCGGTGCAGTCTTCAATTTCCTTGCACGGATTAGTGTGCTAAATAATGTTTGAAAGGATTATATTTAGTACGCCAGTTTAGGGCCCTATGGGTCTGGAACAACGCCCCCCGTTCCCGATGAGCCCTAAAGAACAAAATCCCAACTGGAAATTGGCTCGGTAGGCCGACGGAGCTCGTGTCGCCTTAGTGGTTTCGTCGGGCGGGAGTGCTCGTATTCTTATGCGTATTCGCTTTCTTGCCGCCGTGCCTGCTATACTGACATTGCCTCCGTAGCTAGATGTTAGATGAAGGCCATGTGGATACAGTAAACTGTTGCCATGAGTACACGATGAAGCTGTCAACCAGTAAGGACTGGGCATGACTGGTAAGCTCCGGGTTTCTATTCCAGGCCTACGTTTCTGAACTTAAAAGGAAATAACATTAATTTCTTGCAAACTGCTGTGAAATTGCAAATCGGTGTGGCCTACCCACTGGTGTGAAACCAGTGGTAGGCAGTACGCTACAGATATTACTTAGGAATAGGGCATCGAGGCCGTCGAGGCCTGGAAATAGGCCAAGCGAGTCTTCCGTCGCGGATTCCCGAAGCAACTGTTATGTGCGTCGGAACTTGTCCTAGAACAACCACGACGAATGCTTCCCCTAGTCTAACATTAATAAGGCCGAAAGATACCCGCTCAGTTAGATTTAACTTACAGTCAATGTAAGTATATTCGCTCATGCAACAAATAGATAATTGAATGGGATTACGGAAGTACATATGGAGTTTATCTATAATAAATTACGGAGGTTCCAACTTATATGTTCAGCCATTCAGGACGAGGCTCCTCGCGGGTCTGCTACCACCGAGCAAACTATATAAGTACCATAGAAGCAACATTACTAAAAGATTGTTTACAATGCCGTGCAGTGTATTGTTGTATCAGTTATCTACTTTTGAAGCTGGAAACCTACTCGAACTACTTCTCCGAGGGGTTTGGCTGGCGCTTCAAGATTCTCGTTTCGAAGCCGTAGAAAGGTAAATGAGTTGCAGCATAGATCCCTCGCCTGTATTAGGCCAGCTGCACAGCATAACTTTTCCAGGGCCTGAGATATACGCGACCAGAGACGGTCAACACTGAACATGGGGATTTCGTCAGTAGCTAGTATATAGGACACGACAGCCGACTGATTATCCTCGTGGAGTTCAACGAACCCAACCCAGTCAGATTCTGTTCGCGCCGTTGGGCCTATTCCAGCCAGACCACAAAGTTCTTCAACTATCTCAAGCACATCTTTAAAGTCGCCAGCTGCCGGTTCCTGCTTGGACAACCACCCTCGTGGGTCCTCTAATAAATATTGCTGTTCTGAACAATACCGATGTGAGCATCGCGGAACATGCCTATTTGGTTGGATCACAAAACAAGCAATTTCGGTTGGTTCGAAAAATATCCAAAGAGAGTCCTGCACTTCGTCCAACAGAAGATTGGCGATCTCCTGGAGACTGTATCCGGTACCCTGGAGCTTCCGTATCCATATATGATCATTTTGGCCTTGATGCCTATAACATCATGGGAGTTTTCAAGAAGCGTCAACAGCATTTTTCCACTTGACTCGTTTGCAGCTGCTGTCTTTAGCACACCTTCAGTAATCTTGACCTCACCACCTCGTTTGTCAAGGAGTAAAGCCAGCAGACTCTCTCCGCTCCACTGATTTCTCACTGCAGCCTTAACTACCTCTTCGGTAATCCTAACCTTGTCCCCTCGTTCCTCAAGCAGCAAAGCCAGCACTTTAGGACCACTCCTCTCATTTCTTACTGCAGCTTTGACCACCTCTCCAGTAATCTCGAGCTTATCTCCATAATCACCCAGTAGAAGACTCATTGCTTCAAACCCGTTCAACTCATTCTGGGCGGCTTTTACGGCCTTGCTTTCCTGCTTTGTCAATTAGCAATTGATTGGTATATCTACCGTGGATTGTACTTCCCATTATAGAATCAAGTTCGTGTCTGCTCGACATAACATCAAAGAGACAGGGACATTAACTCAAGTCAATAACTGTTCCAGAACACATCTGATCAGTCTGGAATGCAGAGAAAGAGCACACAAACCTACTGCGGTGCTTCGGTTTTACCTGGTTTTCAGCTGTGCTGAATGACAATCCTTAGCAGTTTTAAATAGCTCGTCCAAATGTATCTTCAACAGACTTCTCAACGGTGCGTGTGTATTCTTTGCGTTTATAGCAGGAAGCACTCTAGGGCTGTGATACGTGAGAACTTACCTTCGCTTGCAAGTCGCTATCAAAGGAGACAAATCGAATATGAATAATGAGAAAATTTTCATGTCTTAGGAAGAAAAAGGGGTAATGGGCTTGTCAGCGAAGGTTGGGCGCTAGATAAGCGTCACATGACTTTGCCTTTGTTGGTCGCTAAATTACTAGGCGTGGTTGTTGCTGCTAGGTTCCTTTTCGGTTGGGATACAGCATGGACTGTTGTCGCCTTTTTTCTCGCACTAATATCGCTTCTGTTGTGCATATTCTACCAGTTGTGATCTGATCTTGTTATCGGCTCTCGCCGGTCGCTGGAGTATATAGTTAGTTCGAAAAAGAGTGTAAGCACCTTGGCGCCCACATGTCCGCGCTTACGGATTACGAGCTTGATTGGCGCCCATATTTTGGTTAATCAGAGTAGCGCTAGTCCAAAGTCGATATTCTGTTATCGATGAGAAAACTTGCAGGTTCCTAGTAATCGGATATGAAGTTAAAAGTGCACGTGAATAAGGCTTAAATTTTCTTGCGGTAGAATGGGGAGTGCCGAGGTATTAAGGAATAAACGTGATATGAGACCTCGGCGGTAGATTTTTGTTTGATAGGGGGACCAGGCAAAAACCGCGGGCGCATTTTTCTACGTGGTCTGTTCAGTAAACCAGTAAACCGCCATGGTCAAACTAAGACCTGTTTCGAGCATACAGTTCAGCTCTTGGGGGGGTGTCCACTCATGGTAACTCAAATTAAGCCCCCCCCCACAATTATCTAGACTCTACCCTCCTCAGAAGTTATCCGTCTTATGCAGGAATCAAAGTACTCTGGAGAACATATCAAAGCCCGGTCGCGGGATCAAGAAATGGAGCAATATAGCATTAGCTGCCTTAAATAATAAAATACTCTCAAACTTTCCAGGCTGTTCCAAATACCCGCGCACAAATTCAAACCAACAAAAACATGCGTCCATGCCAAGGATTGGGTTCTCAGTCATATGAGAGCATTTTCTTTGTTTGTTTAGGAGGCGTCAGCAGCCGGCAACGGCTGTCCAACCAGAGTCAAATATAGTGGCAAACATGCAGAAAGCTCAGTGAATAGTTTTATGCAACACACTACTATCAAACATTTTCCTATTATGTATGTGAGCATCCACGAGGAAATTTAAAACGGATATGATTCAACAGGTGGATGCTCTACTTGATCAGCGAACTTCATGCTTGCAGTATGACTCCAAATAATGAAATTCCTCGACGCCCTGTGCTCCTAGCGCCAGCAAAAAACGAAGCGTCAGCTCAGGGTCCATGTTTACCTGATAAGACACGAAGGCGCCGGGACATGGTCAACATTATTCGATTGTCACGGGCTGGACATCTAAGAAACAAGTACAATCTGTTGCGAAGGCTCTAGATAATCACGGCAAATAAAATACTCTCTAACAAAACAGCAACCAATCCAATAATATCTTTACTAATTAAGTTTAAGAAAAAAAAACATATAAATAAAATAGGCAAAGGCTTTAAGTATTAGATCAGTAGAACCTGATACTTATGTTTAAAGGCTATATATATCCCCAGCATGCCTCTGTAAGTATATCTTGTGCAGGACAGACAGATCACAAAAATTACATTTTTAGTCTATTAAATATAATAATTTAAAATACCTCTTTACTCTATTATAGTCAGAGTATACCTTAGGACATTAGAAGTATGTGAATATTTGTTCCGCATTCGGAATATCTTTCCTGCCAGAGGTATATTCCTTCTCCGACAACGCAGTTAGCGGCGCATCAGACTTTATCTTTTGAGCTAGCAGAGATGGAACTATATTATTATTATCAGATGATGCAGAGTACTTCTATTATTTTTAAAGGGGCCTACTCTCTTAAAAACTATAATATTATATTCTAGTAGTAATAGCTTTATTATGTTATGTTTACTTATCCTCTAATAAATTAATAGTGGGCTAAATAAAAAATATCTTTATAAGAAGAATCTGCTCCGGTAGTATTATAAACCTTTTTTATAATATCTCGCGTGCGGGCTTGTTACTGACAGCTTTACTAGTTAATTACTATTTAATATTAATTATTACTTGTTTTTAACTAAAATTATATTATATTTCTTTCTACTATTTTTTTATAGATATTAATATAAATTATAAACTTTATATTTTTAATTCTCTAGTATTACTTATAATACTAGCTTATAAAAGTAGCTGCTGTATTAAGAATCTAGCTTAAATTACTAGTATATAACTGATTATAGTTCTAGTTTCTTTTCTACTAATTCCCAGTCAGTATTGCTCAGATATTATAATTACCACTAATTAATCTAATAATTTATCTGGGTTACAGTCTTTAAGAACTCCTTATTAGGATTAAAACTATATATAATCTCTTATAAGCCAGTATATTAACAGAGATAATAATATTTAATAAATATTCTGCTAGTAGCGTGAGCTATAATTATGTTATATTATACTTTACTAACAAAGCCTGGACAAAAGACTTAGTTTATCTATTATTAAGGGAAGAGAACTTTAAGGGTTTATAGTTTATTTACTACTCTTATTAAACAAATCACCTCTTCTGTATTAGAATTAGTAAGAAAAAAAATAATTAAGGAAGCCGTGTATCTTACTAGATATTCTGAGCTATATATTAAGTATACTTTTATTTATAAATATCTTTTATAAAATATATAACTAACTATAAATTATATTAATCTTCAGGAAAATATAGTAATTATTTATTTTTTTTTTAAAGGGAGTAATATTTTTTATTAGCCATCTTTAATAAATAGCCTCTATAAATCTTCTATTAAGGTTAAGTAAGGCGCTTTAAATATATAAATATAAAATAATATATTAAAGAGCAGGACATGCGGGCTAAAAATAAATAATATACTATAAATAATTTCAGATAGTAAAAATATGTTTTTAATTAGCCAGTTAGTCTAACAAGCCATATAATAGGTAGATATATAATACCGGATAATACTTACAGCTTTAACATACCCAGAACACTTTTTATAAACTAAAGCTTAAGTTCTATTATTAGTACTAGAGGTCCTCCGCGCGGATCTTACTAAAATAATAATTATAAATATTTAAATTAAAAATAAAGTATTATCTGTTTCCGGTTGACAGTAAATAATCTAATAATATTATATAAATATAAAATAATCCGCTAAAACCCCAGGTGGAATCGCTTTTCCTGGGTTTAAAGAATTATCTTATTAAATAGGACTATATCTTTAATATACACTGGGGTACTTACACGCGGTTATTTATTAAGGCCATGCTTATTGACCAAGTGCCTTATACCCTGTCTGTTCTTGTCAGAGCAAGCCTCATTAAGATGACAGGGAGATTTAAAAAAAAAAAAAAAAAAAAAAAAAAAAAAAAAAAAAAAAAAAAAAAAAACAAAAAAAAAAAAAAAAAAAACAAAAAAAAAAAAAAAACAAAAACAAAAAAAAAAAAAAACAAAAACAAACCATGCGAACTGCTTCACTCATCTCTTTGCTTATCTCATGTTTAGTAACCTGTATATAGTAAATTCGAAAGTACTTCCAATCCGCCTCCAGGGCACTAGCCTTTATATAGTCTTTCTAATAGCAGCTATTAGGACTGTACTCTAGCTTCAGATATTAATTAAAAAATTAATATATATTATTTAAAGATATCTCACATAGTATATCTTTTATATCCTCCTATTTTAGATTAGCACACCACTCCTTTATTTTAATTTAGCAGAACCTGAGATAAAGTATGTTAGTTAATTAATAATATCTTGCTATAATCTTTTAATAAAATTTTAGTTATTTATTAAGTCTAATACCTTTTTAGTTAAAATTTTAGCTTTTTTATATTATTAAATCAGTTATAATTCTTTAGTATTTAGGCCAGGTCCTTATCTATATTATTATCTGAAAGTTAGTATAAGGCCTGGTAAACACACTCTATATTTAATATATTTAATTATAACAGTTTTATCCTAGTACTTAGACTTAACTTTTTTCTAGTAATATTTTAACTAGCTAAAAGAGAACACTCCGGCTTAATAAGATTAGTTTTAAAAAAGTCAGGCTTAAATAGTCTGTTACTATTAATATTAATAGGAGAAATATAAAAGGAATCACTTATAATTTAGTAGTTACTAATATTAGACCTCTGATAATAATATATAGTCAGGAGATTATACTAACTATAAAAAAAAACTACTAAAAGATTTAAAATATTTTAATATATAACTAAATATATAACACAGAAATATAAGGATAGGGAAAACTTTAGAATAATAATTAAATTAAAAAAAAAGAGAATATTAAATAAAAGATAGTTAGAAAAAAGATATTTATAACTATAACAGCTAGATACTGGCCAGAGTATAACAGGCGGGATAAAAAAGGCTATTTTTGGTACCCTTATAAAAATATAATAAATAATAGTAAAGTAATAAATAAGCCCTCAGGAAGCCAAGATATAAACACCCATATAATAGCAGCCTAAGGCAGAAGCGGTAAGTAAGCTAATGTATGATTAAAGGAAACAGGAATATAGCAGAGGGATGTTACTGAAAGGCGGCCATTTTTAGCAGTACCTGCCACCAAAAATGGCAGCAAAATAGCAAACCGCAATTCTTTAAGAGCGAAAAATTAAATAATAAAATTAAATTATATAATAAAATACTGTTATTTTTTGATATGATTAAATGATTCAGAGATTATATAAAAATATTCCTAATATTTAAATATTTAAATTAACTGAGCTGAATCGCTTAGGTAATTTTTAAAAAAGATATTTTAGAAAATACCCTAAGCCCTAAATTTAACCTTAGAACTCCTAAAAAGAAACAAAACTACCCCTGTTAATTAGACCCTAATAGAGGCTATTATAAATTTAATTAATATTTTTATATTAATAATTTATTAAAGAAGTAAAGAAACCAGAAAATTAGTCATGTGATCCTGAGACTATTTAATAATTTAATAAAGCCTCTAGAAACCCTAAATTTTATATAGTGTTTAAAACTACAAAAAATCGCTTGAAATTAATGAATTAAGTAATGAATTAAAAT